TAATAAACTGCTTTTTTTTTTTCTTTACTGATATTAATATATTGAAATAGTAAAACGGTGTTTAAATTATGGATGACAATCACCTGTTTGACATCGGTTTTTTTTTTTCTTTTCTTTTATTATTATATTAAATTTAGTTAAGGTTTTTTTTTTGTTTTTTGTTTCAATCAAAATAAATAAACTATAGGACATACATTTTGAAACTTTACTATATATTGTATTTTCAAAATCACACTTTAGCCTTTTTTTTATCAGTATGTTATAGTTGTATTTTCAGAAAAATTTTTTTTGTCAACGAACAGAACAGTAAAGAAGAGGAAATCGAAAAGAAAAAAAAAATTATTAGATAAATTTGAAGAATAATTTTTAGTTGAATAGCTGAATAGTTCTGAAATACAGTATAAAGCTTTAAGTTTCTTTCTTTTTTTTTTTGATACTACAAAAACAGTGCTACCTAAGAGTGAAAAACAAAAGATGAAGAAGAAGAAGAAATAGGTTTTTAGCAAAAAAATTTATGATCAATTCTGTTTTACACTTTTTTTTAGATCCTATCTCTACATCATCTGAAAACACACCACCAATTGAGGAAGTAAGAGATGTGGTGTATGAAGAATTGATCCGAGTATGTGTTGGCTTCTGTATTATTATTGTTAATGTATGCTTTTTGATTCTGCTAAATAATTCAAGAAAAATGCAAAAAAAATTTCTCCTCTATTCAATGGTAGCCGTTGGCGATACCATTGATGCCACATATTTTCTCTTTGGCAGTTTAGGACGACTGGTTGATATTGCTACAGATACTTTCTATTATCGTAAGTCATTTTTGACTATATCCTAATGATATATATCTATATATATATATTTGTTTATATACTGATATGTGAAAAAGAAACTTAATACTGAAATGTTATAATTTTAATAAGTTATCAGTTAACATAATGAAAATGTCATAAGTGTGTCTGATTAAATAAAAATTTAATTTGCCAAAATTTACAGTATATTAATAGTTTATGTAATATCTTTATTTTGTGAAAAGAAAAAAAAAAAGATCTATTAATCTGCTTCAAGTTTTGTAATCATAATTTTTTTCTTTTTTTTTTTAGCAATTTCTTTAAAAGGATGTTTATTGAAATTTTATGTTTTACCTCGTGTATTTGGATCAGAAATGGTAGCTATGATGATGCTTGTTTTATCAGTTGAAAAAGTGGTTGCCGTATTTCTTCCTCTATTTTATAGGTTAAATTTTTTTTTTTTTGTATTTTATAATAAATATGTACAATTTACGAAGATACTGTAACTGTTAGTTGTTTCTAAAATAAAAACTGTTATTTTATCTTCCTGTATTTATTCACCATCCTTTTTCTTTGCTTTTTAGAGCTTATAGTGATCGATTACGACTGTCTATGATAGCTGCTGCTTTAATTTACTGTATAGTTTCATCGATAGTAATGATTGTAACATCAGTGCTTGATAAACGACCAGTTGTTGGAAAAAATCGTTACTGCGGTATTTCAACCAGGTGGCTTTCAATTTTTCAGTTATTTGTCTAACAGTTCAACTAAATTTTTGTTTTTTTTTTCTAAGAACTGTTTTTTTTTTTTTTGGAATAAATACTTATTGATCTGTGGATTACATAGACATATTTTGGATTACATATTTTTACAATGCTGCCAATTTAGTGGATAATAGTCCAAACTAAAATACGTTGTTTATGTCGTTGTCTTCTATACCTTCAATTAGTGCATAAAAAAACGAATTTACTCCAAAAAGAAAATCAGTTGGAATTCCTAATGACTTTAATAGATGTAATTTTTTTCACTCAAAATTTATGCTTGATAGTTTTACTTTTCTGAATAGGTATATATTTGCAAAAAAAAAAAAAAAAAAA